CGTCAGAACCTCTCCACAGTTCTTCCGCCGCCACTCATTTCTCCTCTGAACATGGTTAAAGATGTGGCATATAACAGGGAGTTTAACATGATGTACTTGTTGATCGATGAACGAGAAATTTGGGTCTACTATACCAGGTAATGATTTGTTCACATCTGTCTGGATCAACACTAAAAACAAGCGTTTGCACTGTGATAGAGAAATGACAGTTTTCATGTAGAAACCGAGGAAGTATGAGCCATTTTTCATTATTCAAGACCACAAGCAGACCCTGCTTTTCGGCACAGTCTAACACGCGAGTCGAAAAAAACAAAAACAAAACAAAACAAAATAATTTAAAAACCTTGAAGTAAGCGCAGCGTGCACAACTCTTTCCGTGCGCCTCACTTTCAGATTTCCGCGCGGCACGTTTCATCTTTTGTGAGAAGAAAGAGCGACAGTTACTCACGTGATAAAATGCTGAGTTTCGGTTGCTTACACCTTCAAGCGTCGTATAAACTGGTTTAAAAGTTGCAAATGAATTCTATGTCAGGACGAATCCAGCCACCAGAGTGGAGTCTTGGAAACTAGACTTTATTGAAAACATCCACAGCCAACATTCCCAAGATGCATTACAGAAATCCAGAGCAAGCAGTCCATGGCTTAGTGAAGGAAACAGGTCGGTAATACTTGAAGATAAAACCCGTGAAGAATTTGATGGACAGATCTGCGTAGCGCGGTATCAGTCGATCGCACAATTACAGCTTCCTATTTTTCGGAAAATCCCCAGCTTGGGATGGTGGGCCATAGCTAAGGTTACTGTAATAACTCCTGTGATCATTGGATACATTTGAGTTTACCCAATGTCCTTGACTGATGTAACTATTTAAGTACAGGTGTCCGATTATAACCAACTGCTCCGGTTATAGCTCCAAAAAATTATCGCTTACAATTGAGGTAATTTATCGACTAATCATGTTCGAGAAAATTTTGATAATTATAATTGAATTTAATATCCAATCATTCGGTTTGCTTAAAGAAAGATGTTTCCAATTTTGTCCCCCTTGTCAGATTTCCAAGTCCTGAGTCTCCCTCTCTTGGTCCCAGTTCTTTTCCACCGTTAGACGCCAGTGGTAGGGAATCAGTGTTATCCACTCGTAAGGAGAAAGTACTGATCACGTGTCTTGGAATACTATATTCTCCAATATTAATGACGTCACTGGAGGGAGATGCGTGTCCGGATACAACACATTTCCTAATGGCGGGAACTCAGGTGAGTTGCTACTTAGAGAAGGAGGGGGCATTAGGGCAATGATCAGATGGGCTGTTTAACTTTATCACTTCAAACCAGAGAGTGATCATTGTGTTAATTCTCTTTGCAATTATAATGCCCTCTTAAACACAGAGGTGATGAAAATTTACCAAATTATCAACTACATCATATTTTCGTGGACATTTTTTTCTTGGATAGACTTTGTATTCTAAGGAATAGCAAATTAGGAAATGCATCCCCGTCTGTTGGGAGAACTAGCTCTCAGATCTTAAGATCGTTACAATCAGAGACATTCTTGAGGTCGTTTACGAAGCAATGTCTTTAGACTCGAAAGGAATCTATATCACTCCCACAAAAGGATATTCTGCTATTTCCTTCACACACATCGAAGAAACCGATGAGTTAATAATTATCCAATGAGTGGACTGGTTATTTTCACCCATAACAGAACTTTTTGGGTTTGGCTTTTAAGTTTTAGTGAGCATTATATTTTCTTTTAGGATGGGCGCGTCCTGTTTCTTCACATGTTTTGGCAAGGACTGAAGTATCATCAGCTCCAAGCAAATAAGGACGCTGTAAGTATATTAAGACACGGCCTGTGAAAAAAAAATTCTGGCCAGTTGGAAATAGTCTGGGTAAACGGCCATAATGGCTGTAGCTCGCTTTTCTCAGTGCGATCCTGTGAGGAGTTGTGCTATAGGGTTAGGTCACTGAAAATTCTTCCATCCCTCCCCTCCCCTCCCCTCCGCCCTTCTTTCTCTCCTCGGCATTTCGTCAAGTCTCCCTCTGGCAGTTCGCAATTTATGCCCCTGGGAGGGAAGGGAGGTACAATAAGAGCTAATTTATTATCCATGAACAGATGAGGATGACTTTGATCAGCAGTCATTACCTCGATTCAAAGTCCAGCGCATGCACCAAATGCAACCGCGTCACATGCGTTTATAGAGTTTACATTTCATTAGAAAGGACCAGGATTGCTTTAATGTATTTAGCTAAATTTACCCTTCAAATGCATTATTGTTGTGAGCTACTTTAAAGAATATCTGCCTCTTTGTGAATGCAGGTTCTTCAGGTCTACCATGACCAAGACAACAACACTCTGGTTACAAAGTGTCGGTGTTCTAAGATTGTTATCCTTATTTGGTCATTGCCACTCCTACTGTTGACGAAGAGGATTGATTGTGATGCTGACATGACGTGTTTTACGCGAATGGTAAGAATTGAATTGCTGTTTTTTTCTTGTCCGCGCACTTATCGTGTAGCGCATATCTAATATTTGTTATGATCTATCAAATTCAATTACCAACCTGATTTTAGCATTTAGAGGACATTATGTATAATTGCGTCAAACACAAAGTCGCATGACAGTTTACGCGCCATTTGTACGCGCTGTATTCAGGACCAGTTTTCTTGTGAATTTAGTCAACTCTTATGTTTTTATTCATGTATACGTTTAACCGATGGATATTCTATTTCTCAAATTCTGTCACAGTTTTGTTTTATTGGTAACAGAGCATTCTATCTTCCAATTCGGTTTGTTTCCGTGCTTGTAAAAACAAATAGGATTCTCGCCATTCGTATGTCTGACTTTGTAATCACTGGTATGATTACAGACCTAAGTGGAATTCACACAGTTCTATTATCATTACATAATAAAAGGGAATTTTTTTTCTGTGGCTAGAACAATATTATGTTGTGCGGACATCAAAGTGGATATTTGCACCTTCATTCGTTGTCTGTGGATAACGGTGAATTTCGCGAAGATAAAGGTAAGTCACATGACGTCCGAATCCTACCTATATAGAGCCTAATGTGTTTGCGCATAGAAATTTAACCACGATTCCCTCCCCTGAAAGGACCGTGGTTTGACTCATAGTCTTTGTCGCTCAAATTTTCGAAAATTATTTACAGTGTATTTTAAAGCCAACTTTTGCGGCAGTCCCTTTAAACTTGCCAAGTACAGTCACCGTTTGACCGTGTAACAGGTTTCCGCTGTTTAGTTGATAGGCAGGTTCACATGACCCAGTTATTGATTCGCACTATTAACTACGCACTCAATGATGTAACTCTTACAAAATATAACAGATATTCGACATTCATAATAATGATAATGTGCTTACAATTCATGTAGTAAGTTTTGGTGATCCATAAATGCGAAAAATTACTTTTTGGTACATGTACGAGGTTGATGTTATTTAAACTCGTGCTTTAATCATCTTTGGTTTCATAACAGAAGAGAGAGCGGCAGGAACCAGTCGTCCACCTCCAAAGGATCATCAAAGTTGTATCAACAGTGTGGACTCTAACTCAAACCTGGAGATATTTTGTAGTGACGATGTTCACTACCAGGATGCAATAGGATATGATGTACCGTATTTATTAAAAAATTGTTCTCATTCTGCATTTTTTTCATTTACCCAATTGGCAGGGTCAAAATCCTCAGTAAAGTCTGATGAGTTGTATGATTTGTCATAATCATCTTATAAATCAGTAAGACAGAAATAACAACAAAACGGCAAACTGAAGTCAAATGAACAACAATAATGAAATGCCTCATCGTACTAGTACTGCTTTATAGAGGGGGGGGCTTAATAAATCTCTTTCTCTAGAGAGGGGGGGGCTTGATAGAGGATTTACGGTATGCATTATCAAGCAAACAGGTGATGGAAATACTCAAACTCATCAGGGAGAACTTGTTCTCGTGGTCTAACACGAAATTCTCCTAATTAATGTATAAGGAAATGTGAAGCAGCTAGAGGGAAGAATTGAAATTCAGATCTTGAGAGTGAGAGGGTAAACAATCAAGATCTTTCTTGTATTTCTTTCTTTTCTTTTCTTTTATTCCCATGGCTGTACCTTTTGCTGCTTTAGTGGGGATGGCATCATCAAGATTTGGGACGGAAATAAAATCCTGCTGCGGGAAATCATTATGAACGAAACATTAACAGTGGCCTCTTTCCTCAATACTCAAGGTACGAATCTTTAGATTTCATAGATTATTTTCATGAGGGTTCTAAGAATATTTCTGTTTGTCGAAGATCCCCTCTCCTGTTTGAAAAATAAGATCTCACAATTTCGAGTTTGATTCAAGAGATGTTGTTGAAAGAATAGACAAGGGAGTGATACATGTAGATCCATTATAACTGTTGCAGTTCTGTCAATTTTTCTCAATCTTTGTCCTCGTTTTGACATTTGTCGTTTCTCTCTCACGTCTTTTTTTCCTAGGGGATATCCTTATCGGTTTCAAACAGCACATCTTCATAATTCCAAATGAAAAAGGTGAGTAAAAAAAAAATGTAAGCCTAGAAGGGTCTCCGTAAATCAAAGCAGCTAAGTGTTTTAAATCGACCCATCATCGCCCTGAAACTCCTCGAAGGACGACCACCTATTCTGAAAAAGAAAGGAGAAAAAAAGGGGCGAAGCAGAAAAAGGGAAAGTCGATATTGTTCGTTGCATTTTGTACAGAGAAGAGAAATCCAGGGTTGCGTTGATTTTTCTGCTCGTCGCCCTATCACTGATCTGGAATATTTGCGCTATCCTCTTAACCAATCAAATGCAACACTCCGGTGAAACCAATCACTAGCTAGTTAGTCACATTTCCTTGGAAAGCAAGTCACTTGTATTCTTAATTAGCCCCCTGAGATCTTCACTTCTATTCTGACTGACCACGGTGATTACTTTGGTGACGGTGTAATGACGCTCAATCGAGAAGATCTGCAAGGGAATAACTAGAGTAACGAGTTTTCTGAACTGTTATTGTTTAGTTTACTCCAACAGACTTCTCTTAATTTGAATTGCACGGATTTTGTAGCCTATTTTTTGTAGGCGTGTTACGATGTAATTTCTCTTTAATCTTTCAGTGTGCCCAGTGAAAGATGGCTTATTGCTTGACGGCAGATCCGATTCAATCGACGACGAGGCGTTTGAGACAGGTAGATAAAAGATTGTCTGTATTAATCGTCAATCTGTTGCCTACTTCAATGGTTGCTCTTTTTTGTTTACATCGTATAGAATCAGACATCTACGAGGACCCATCAGTAAGATTTGAAAGCAAAAAGATTCTGCAACCGGATCCTACTAAAATGGAGAATTACTTGGTAAAGAATTAATTTCCAACTTGGTTTACACGTATTCTTCTTAGCTGTCGTTTCCAAGTTGTGAACTTTCTCTCTTTTCAATCTCTAGGTACCATTTCCAAACTTGCAGCTGAAAACGTCTTGGTTCATGGAAGGTCGACCTCCCCCCGACCTTGAACCACAAAAGCAACAGGAGGACGAAGAGGTACATGAAACAGTTATTTTGAGGTTAAAGCACTTTTTCCTCGAATGTTCAAAGTCAACCGGTATCGTGTTGGTTTTGCTCTATTCTCCTCTGTGATTGGACCAGGAAACTCGCGCCACACTCTCAACCAATCAGATGCAAGACTGAATGGAAAAGAGACTTGGTTACTCGCGTTTTCCCGCGCTTCAAGCAGTCTGCTGGCCCTTATATCGAGTACTTATTTACTAATGATAATCTTATGGTCTTTCTACATTTTTTCTTTTTTTCGATTGCCTATTATGATTACTTTGATGATGATCTTTTTGTCACTCGGTTGAAAACTGCCCTTAAGCGCATGTATAAAATCACTGATGATGTGATAAGCTACCCAGAATTTTTGTTCTCTCATTTAAAGGAGCTGTGCGACTCATGCTTCATACTCAGTTTGTTCTTACCTCATATTCGTTTGTTAATCCTCCCAAACCAACTTCTGAAGAGCTTCTTCCGATAAAGGAAGAATTTTGACCAACCATTAAACAACCCACAACCTAAAATACTGTAATCTATAATACTTTTTGCTTTACTTTCAGTCCATTAGCTTAATGTCGGACAGTCTCTCGCTTGCTCCGACTGAAGTCTATGGTTCCCTATCCTCCACCCCCAGGCGAATGTCTTTGGCAAGCTCTGTAACAATGTCTGAACGCAGAACCAGCACGGAATTATGGGACCTTCCTGAATTTGGAAACTCACCTGTGAGTTCACCGCCCAGAACTCCTCCACCAGAACCAACACCCCCTTCCACCCCTCCCCCGGTAAGTTTTACTTTGGTCACTTAGGGCTTTGGTTTTTCGTGCACAGTGTACTTGATATTCTTAGATGATGAAATGATTAAGAATATAATGAAACTGATAACGGTTTTTTTTTATTTGTAGGAGGTAGAGTCTGACGAGGACTCGAGTGGAAGTATGTCGAATCCTATCTTTATTCTTTAACTCAAAAAATTACGATTATAAGCACTGGTGAGGCTTGTGCCTGCTTGTGCCAGGGTTGTAGTGGTGAATCCAGGGGGGGGCGGAGGGTCGGGAAATTAACAGTCCTCACCGCCTTCCCCCGATCAGATGTATGGATATTCTCAACAAAATTTCTTCTTTCGACAGGATCGCGTATCACTACTCACCTTGAAGTATTAAGAAGTAGCTATTAAGTATTAAGTATTAATTAGCTATTAAGTATTAAGAAGTAGCTATTAAGTATTAATTAGCTATTAAGTATTAAGAAGTAGCTTATCTTGAAATGTTTCGTAGTCTATCAATGCTCCAGTGTTGAAAAATCGTGCTTTCACAGTCAAAGTGTGTGTCCCCGATTACAGAATTTGCCTCGTGAAAACATTTGAAAATCGTTCTTCATTCCGTAACTGCCCTCGATGTCTCTTGTTTTCTTGTCAGGTGAAGAAAAGAAAGAGTCCCAAAATACTGAAGACCAACCGTGTGAACGATGCGAGAATGAAAACAAAAAAGAAAAGAAGAAAGGTCCAGTCATTCCCAGCTTCCGACGAGAAAAAGGGAGGATGGGAAACATAGCCATCAACTCTAGATCCCTGCGTTCTGGTTTTGGAGGTCCCGGATATGCTGCCCCAGTTTCCAAAAAGTTGATTGAGCAGAGACCTGAGCCCAAGTCGTTTAAAGTAAGAAACTTAATGATGGCTTGATGGGTAAGCATCATGGTTATCAAATATGGGATATTTTCAACTTTTGTAACTCATAATTTATGTGGTAGATTTTTGTATTTTACATACATCAGCGACTTTTTCTTTTTTTCAGCCCAGACGTATCCCAAAGCCCATTGTAAAGAAAGCAAAGAAACCTAAAGAAAAGGGAGAGGAAGAGGAAGAAGCCAAGAAAGAAAAAGATGAGAAAGAGACAGAAACAATTGAAAATGAGCCTGGTGAAGCTGAAGAAGAGAAACAGAAAACCGAAGATACAGTAAAAGTAAACGCTGATGATGATAATGGAGATGACGAGGATGGTGTTCCTGCGCATCGGACGCCTAATGTTGTTACTATGCCAACAAGGGAACAAACGCCTTTGATGCGACAAGAAACTGTCAGCCCTAAACGGGTTTCTAATGCCAGCCCACCAGAGCAGCTGCCTTCTCGATCAGCGAAGAACGAGGAACAAATGCGCGTGAGAGAGAAAGGCAAAGGTTCTCTTGTTTTGTTGTTTCGTTTTTCCCTTCTTTGCAATGGTTCTGATTATTAAAAACCTCGTTGTTGCACTTGTAGCTCTTTGTAGAGAGGTCGCATGTATGATGAATTACTGATTTATTTTTTTTGTTAGACGCAGCAGAGCCACAAAAGACCACATCAGATTCCCCCCCTCAAAGAAACGCTGAAGATAGTACAACGAGAGCTGTATCGAGCGGCGAGGATCTGGCTGCTGATAATGAAGATGAAAATATGTTAGATCAAGACAACGAAACCAAAGGTGAGAGAGAAAACGAAGATGGAGCTCCAGTGGAGGGTGATAAACCAGGAAAACCTGATTCACCAGAACCAAGGGATCCTCAATTAGTGACATTCATTGATCCTGATACGGGCAAGGTGCTACAAAGACCTCTCAATGAAGTCCCAGATGATGCCGAAATTCTTGAAGACTATGATGATGACAATGAATTAGAAGGAATAAATGAATATACTAGCCCTGCTGCTGAACATCTAACGTCGTCTCGTCGTAGTAAACGAAGCGATCGTGGACGAAAGAGTGTGACCTTTAGCTCAGAACACATCCGAACATCTCAAGCAAATCGACCATTCCCTAGTCTATACACTTCTGGAAGAGATTCCCCAACGCTAAGATCTCGCAATGCGGGCTTAGTCTTCAAAGAAACAGTTGTACCTGTTTATGGCAACAAAAGGCCGGGTGACCCGTTGAGAAAAACGTCTAAGAGCTCGTCAGGTGTTTCTCCGCTGACAATATTCGCACTTGCGAGAAGCAGGCAGGAACACACCCCAAAGTCAACCAACGTTAGAACTTGGTCAGCGGATGGACGCTACAAACAAAAACACGGTACATCGGAGAATTTCAGTTTAAGAACTGATGTGGTGAACCAAGGTGATTTTGACATGAATGATGACGATCTTTTACGACTTATCGATACCGTTGGTCTGCAGACTGGTGCCGAGGGACATGAAACGCCCGGATCATTGAGGCCCCCAAGCGTGAGAAAACAAGGAAGTACTCTCATGCGCTGGTGCATACAAGCACTCCAGAAAACAGACCGGGAAGTCCTTTTTCCACCCAAGCCAACGCGGCCAGGTAGTTCACCAAGTGTTGCCACATCGAAAGCGACAAAGAAAGTGGAAGGTGCGCCTAAAGGTGATAGACTTCTTCTCTTTTGATATTCTTAGATTAGTTTGACATGTACTTTGATTTTAATAAGTACTTCTAGTGATTTTTCAAAGAAATGTCCTTGGTTTGTCGTTAAATCAACACCTCGAAGTTTAAATTCTGTAACCATTTTGGTCAATCTCCTAGTTTGATATGTGTTATGTTCGTCGCATTACATAAAACTTGCTACATTTTTCGTTACGTTTCAGCAAGCTCACCTTAATTCTTTCAGGTAGGGCGCGTTTTGCACAATTGCCCGCTACACTTAATAACACAACGAGTCATTTTTTTTTTTGATTTACTTACCATAGTGCCGAAGAAATATTACTCTTGTAACGAAAGATGTCTTAAATGAGCCATCGTGGCGAGCTTTCAACTTCGTCCCCATTTAATTTGAATAATCCTTGTACGTGGCACCATAGATTCATCAGAAAACAATTTTATTTTATACAATGAAGAAATTGCACATGCTTTCCAACTGTAACTTCTCCAGGTGTTATTTCTTTTCTCAGCGACACTTGAAAATGTTTTGCCCACCGCTCAGTATTTCAGGAGTGCCATGGTTTCCCACTCTTCTCTTGTATTTCTTTTCTCAGCGACGTTTAACAGTTTTTTCCACTTCGCTCTGTATTTCAGGATTGCCATGGTTTCCTATTTCTTTTCTCAGCGACATTTAACAATTGTTTGCCCACCGCTCAGTATTTCAGAAGTGCCATGATTTCCCACTTTTCTCTCGTAGGTAATACGTTGAACCTGAGCAAGAAAGACGATCAGAAAAGACCACAAACTGCCGACACCGTTCGCAGTAACACCACGAGCCACGAAGAATACTCGATGTTCCCGTATGAGAATACATCACTAAATAAAGCGACGGAACAAACAAAGACACGTGATCGTAAGAGTGTCACACCTGCCAGGATGAATGCATGGAAACACGTGTCATCTGATGAGGATGGTTAGTAAAGCGTTTTGGGAGGGGCGAAGGTGCCATGGCATTAAGATGTGTTCACTTATTCTCTTTACCAGTTGCTCCACAGTTCCTTGTTAATCATTTAAGAGAATTGTCGAAACATTTAAGATAACAGTATAAGATAGGAGTTTATTAGAAGGAGTTCACGGTGACCTTATCAAGAGAGGTGTAGGTTAGAGACTTGATCATCGCATTTTTTTCTTAGGAAACACACTTTACCTTCATAATCACTTTTTCTCCCTTCCAAGAATATAGATGGCTACCATCTATATTCCTCAAAACGGATGAAGTGAGACCCAGGGGCCAGTGGTCTCTACATGTGACCCAAGCCAGTCGGAAAGTATTAGGCCACTTGTTACATAATAAACTTAGATTGTATTATTTTTCTTTCATAATTCTTACTTGTGATTTTTACATCAGAATATTTTGTGCCAGACCTGCAAATATTTGTAACACGTGATGCAGGGCATTTACTTAACGAGTAAAATTGATCCTAATGCTTGTGCATAAACATCTAATATATGTATACTTTCTTCCTTCAGAGGATTTTTTAGATGCCTACCAAGCCATGCGCTCCAGTGTCGGCCCACGCGATGCGGATAAGGTAAACAAATGCTTACGATATAATCGGATTACGAAACCGTTGACATAATTTTATGAAATAAATTGATAAATGATGTTGACTTTCTCCAAATGGTTAAAATCGACTTTTAGAGACCACATGCAAAACAAAGCGAGGGCTAATCTAGGGTCTTAGCATCGACTTCGTTTTATTCCATTGCTGTATAGTTGTAATTATTTTAGGTCTTATAATTTTTTTGTAAAGTTTGTAGTTTTATATAGCCTCATATATAGATTTATAAATAATTGTGAAAAGTACGCAATCCAGCCTATGGCTGCAAAGTATTTTTATTTTTATGGTAATAAACTATATATCTATCTCAAATTACCCACCAGAAACATCAGTGTTACACTGTAGCTGCTCTTGTTATAAACTAAGAGAATATGAACAGAGAAAACCTTTCCGCCGTACACATTCCTCTTTCAATGATCACTTTTATTAATCTAATTTTAGCGCGTTCCTGCGGCGCGACTAATTTGAAAATAACCGCGGATTGGTTAGGGGTTCTGTGGTGAAATGTGATGTGTGATGTTTGGCAGCCCGCGGTTTGTGGTTTGAGGTGTTAACTTTCTGATGACGTGATGACATTTTTTGGTCCATAAGAGAAGGAGCGCAGGGTTCGTACGGGTCCTGGAAAACCCGGAAAGTTGGGAATTTTATTTTGACATTTTCCAGGACTGGAAAGTCCTGGAAAAAGACTACAGGTTCTGGATAGTCCTGGAAATCAGCTAAAAAGCCAAGCAATAATTTTTTCAGAATTTACGTTACAAGAAATGTGTATAGACCGTAAGGAGAATTGATTTATTGATTTGGAAATCTTGGGAATGAAAGGGTGAAATGTGAAATTTGGAGTCCTGGAAAAATCAATCTGAGCCTGGAAAAGTCCTGGAAAAATCAATCTGAGCCTGAAAAAAATCCTGGAAAATACCTTGAAATTTGTTTCTGAAAAAGGGTACGAACCCTGGGAGCGGTTACAGTTTTTAAAACTACTTTAACTCGAACACCAGAAACCTCAAAGACAGATGATATGAAGATCGTTAACCGCGTTATCATGGGAAGTTTAACTTCCCAGCGTAGCAAGAAATTAAAAACAGACTTAACAAAGTTATTATGGATCACGGGAATAAGTTCTCTCAGTTGTTGTCCTCTTGTATAAACCAAGTATAGCTTGAAAGGGTGTGGAAAGAGTGATTTTTAGATTTGGAATGGATCTGTGAATTGGACTGGATCTGTGCCTTCTTAATTTCCCTAATTATTTCTTTGAAGGCTGCTTAAATCGCATGATGTAAAGATATTTCTTGACCTCAGCTATGATAAAATTGATCTGGCTTTCACTCACTTCATTCTCGCCTCTATAGCAACTTTGCGTTCATTTCGGTTTCAGGATTACGTTAAGGATCTTATCTCCAGAGGATCATTTGGAAGTGAGAGGTACGAAGTAGACATAGCTCTCATTTTCTACCACGCCACAACCCTATTTCATCCCCTCGTATCCTTTTAGTCTGTCTAACTTTTTACGTCTTCTTTTTGTGTTTTCCTCTTTAGCTTTTTGTTTCTCATATCACCTAATTTTATTAAGGAATTTCGCCTTCAGATTTTCAAATTCGCGTGACATCCCAAGGTTAGATACAAGTGACTACAGTGGAAACTGGCAATATAGGGTTTTAGAAAGGTAAGAGAACAAATAATCAAAACTGTCTTGAGTGCTTATCAATTAAGTATTATGAAACTCTTACTAATCATGACAGTTAATCGTAATAAAGTGGGATACATGAAAGAGCGAACGGAAAGGGTAAAAAAAAAACACTTTTATCCAGTCTTAAACGTGGAAAATCGCGGGTTGGTTGAAAAGGAAGATTATTGTCGACACATTTAAGAGTAAGTCGAAGTGAAGACATCTTATTGAGCTCAGTGTTTTATGTTTCCTTATCCTTTGAAAATCTTACTAAGTTTTCCTTCTGAAAGTCAATTTTATACTGCTGTGTAGTAGCTTGATAATAATAATAATAATAATAATAATAATAATAATAATAATAATATAATATTTATATTGCGCAAATTAACATGTGGATATGATCAAATGCGCATCACAACACTTTTCGGGGAACTTTGGCCGGACTGCATCAGCAGTTTACAAACAATCGATGGAAACTTCCCTTGGGTTAATTTCGTGACCATTGTTTTTAGGGCTCATCGACTGAAGCAACAGCGTTTGGAGAGGCAGAAAAGTGCCACTGAAAGGAGACAAGCTCTTGATAACAAACACAAGGAAAGATGGAAAAACTCGAGTCACTTAGAATACGCGCAAGGTATTCTTTTGATTAGAGATCCTCCTGTCTGCTTATTTGGGATTAATTAATTTCAGCTTTTCCTCTTGCTTACCTTAGGATTGTACTTCGGTTCTGTCCTGTGCTTCACTTCGCCTTGCTTCGTAAATACGTCGACTTTTAATTAGTGGTTTTTCAATCCTCCTGCAGAGCAACCGCCCAAGCCCGACCCCGTGTTGGAGTTCATCACCCCACCTCCCGCAATCGGTCGGAAAACGTCACCCTCACCCCCCCTGAGTCAAACTGAAATCAGGAAACTGAAGGAACAAGAGTTATCAAACGAACGTCCTTTCCGCCTGACACTTAATTCCCAGCCTGGAGGTGTGCTGTACACCCCATTGGTTAAAAGTTTAATGGACCTTAAGACAGGTGACCATCATGTGTCGGATGTTGCAAATGTCTTACCCAAGCCCCCTCCGTCTGCCTCAATCCCAAGCAAATGCAGGTAAATAAAGATTTGTCTCGTGTGCAATTTTTTTAAATCAATTTAAATAGCTGATAGCTCTGATAGGTAAGCCTCGTTATTCTGTCTAGTTTTGACGGCAACCTCCCCATTTAGCCTTGTTTCAGAGCCTTTTTGGGGAATGAAAATTTAGAATTCAGAACAAACGAAATTTCTAGCCCTCCTTAATGCTAAAATTTGGAGTTACAGTATTAAGGGCGATAAATATGCATTTACTACTATTATTTCCTAGCTTAAAGCTCCTTACACTTAGGCCTCGTACGTCATTTCTTTAAATTAGTTCAATGCAGACATTTTAGCAAGTGCAAACTTTAAATTTTTCTTTACTAAATCTTCTGTCTCTCCTCTTAGTCGCTATGTTCTCGTGGCACAACCAGACATCAAACAACCTCGTCCCCACGCTACAGCAGTGGAAGAAACTCTTCTGATGTTGCGATTTCCGAAGTCGCGTGTAAGAAGACGTCATGCTAGTGCCACTATTCCTAAGCTTCACTCCAATCGGAACGTTCGCGCGAAGACTAGTCTCCAAATGTGACTTAGATTATCCGAACTGAACAGAATTGTTTCGAATGGGAAATGTTGTTAGTCTCTTTCTCTTGGGTGTGATAATTTTGCAAATTCGAAATTGTCTCAAGATGACTATAGATTTTTTTTAAGGTGGCTCGTACCAGTTTCCTCGCGCGGGCAACAGGTCACTCTTGCGTGACGCGCGCGAGAGAAACGTGCGAAAGAAGCGCGAGATCAAAAGATGAAAATTCAAAACAAAGATGGCGCGCGTGGATTTTTTCTACTTTTGTGAGAAGTTTACCTAAGAGCTTGTATTTGATGTGTTGAGCGGCCACTGTGAATGCAGGAGATAGAAACTAAGATAACGAGACGATTTTCGGAGAAGTAAAGGTTGCTTCACTTCACATTTAAAAGAAATATTCAACCGATATGGAATCTTGCGACGGCGAAAAAAGAAGAACTCAAGTGAAGGATAATCTACCTGAAGTGGAAGAAGACTTTGAAACTTCAAGGAAAATAATATGATATAGCCGGAAGTCATGTGTAGGATTTTTAAGATGAGCTCGGGAGGCTGTCTTTGACGGCTGTTTAATGATTTTCCTAGCAGTAAACGTCTGTAAACATCAGATCGTAAGTGCTCGCGCGAGCACACGCAATTGTCAGCGGTAGCTAAAACAGATCATGAGCAAATGTCGATCTTATAGAATCCAGATTTTTAAATGAGCGAGACCGCGCGTGGAAATTGCTAAACTCACGAAAGCTATTGCATGAAAACAAGTCCGGTGATCCCTTCCTTTTATTGTTCCAATATGATAATAACGTCGAAAGAATCATCAGAAAAAAAAAATAGAAATTCTACGGAAGGAAATTTGCGATGTGTGAAAATTGCCCTTTTCGTAGATTTTCTTGAAATTCCGCTCTGTAGAATTTTTTAAAAGTCTTTGTGTATTTTCCTTTTCAAGTGCCAAAAGCAATCACTGAAAAAAATCAGGGGGTCACCAGGTTAGCTTTCGAATTATTTAAGCCACAAGCTAAAAAATGCGTCGGAATAAGCCTATGAAAGCGTAGCCATGGAAACTGCTAGTGACAAAATAACACTTATTTTTGGATAACCAACGATTATGTAATTCAACCCCATAAAAGTGTTCAACTGGCCTTGGTCAATCTTTCTGTTGTATTCTTTCAAAGTTACAGACCATCAAAAAGATGAAAACCGGTACGAGCCACCTTAATGTAAATGGAAGTGAATCTTTTGCAACAGATGCTGAATAAATTTAGAAATTTATTTAAGCTGTTGGGGTGTTAAAAAATTCTCTTGCGTCCTCTTGCGTCCACGTCGAAAAGTGTGTATACCGAGCATTACAAGACAAAAGGAAGAGCGAGGTAAGCGAATTATTTAGAAAAATAGAGATGGCAAAATTTATGGCCCGTGCAAAACTTGTGCCACGAACCTTTGTCAATAGCCGACATACCTTAGCAAAAAGACCTTCAACGCACCCCAACAAAGGTACTTGATCATTAAAGGTGGTGTTGAGGGGGTGGCGGTAGCGAAAAATCTACAACGAAACTGGTGCTTCTTGGAATCCGCTCAAGATTACACAGGGAAACGTTTCAAATTGAGGTCATTGGCCGAAGTGAAGACAGAAGAAGGCGTGAGCTTGATCCGCTGCTGTTGAACCAAGTTCTGTTTGGGGAACTAACCAAGACAGACTCTGCGAGGAATTTTTACCAACTAAGCTGTTTTTATATAAGGGTGAGCTTAGCCAAGATTGAATTCGTAGTCAGTTTTAGGCGAATTTGTGTGTGTACTGTGGTATGTTCCACGTCCTTCTACTAAGTGACAGCTTTCAATGTAGCGTTTTTCCTTTTTGACAGGGTAATTTTGCTGACGATATACTGAGCACCGAGTTGTTGATTCAGACGGAAAAGTTAAATATATCGTGTTTACATCATGTCTGCGTGAAACATATGGGAGCAGCCTGATGAAACATAAAGTGACATTTCAGGGGTCTGTTCTAAGATTGGAGCTACATCTGTAAAGTGCGTTTAGTGCCCTATTTTGACTGTTTGGTCACCTTTAATGCAGCTGCTCGAGAAGAAAAGTTCTTTCTCTTATAGCTATTGACTTCGTTGAACCGTAATACCGGCAACCTAGGAAAAGATCCAGTTCGTGACAAAAGGGGTGAGGGAGAGTATTCTCAAAGTATTTCTTTTTCCTTTTTGTTATTTTTCACCCACATTATATTTTATTGGGTTAGTATATGAAAAAGAAAGAGATAAACCATTTTTTTAAACGAATATAAGATTTAAAATTCTTTTCAGCAGCAAAAATGATTGTATGGCAAGTGTTCAGGTTTGGTAGTCTTGAGTTATATGTGTGAATATCAAGTCTTTTACAATATAAGCAAAACATTGTTAGTGGATCGAGGCACTTCAAAAGTATATTTGGATTGCAGGAGTGGGATTTACAGAATGGAGAACAGTCCTATATGTCTATTTCTATTCGTGCTTCAACTGTTTTCTGCAAGAGACGTTGTTGGCCGACAAATCCTTGACCGAAGATCTGCGAAACGCCGGGCAAAGGTCTTGATTCTCGGAGCTGGTGTTGCAGGAATTGTTGCAGCAAAAACTCTGCAAGAAAAGGGCATGAATGACTTCTTGATACTGGAAGCCCAAGATTACATTGGAGGACGTTTCAAACAGAAGTCATTCTCAGGAGTAAAGCTTGAAGAAGGAGCGAACTGGATCCATTTTGCTGATGATGATGATAATCCTCTATGGAATCTCAAAGAAAAACACAACCTGAGAGGGATTTATACTAACTACACTGATGTAATAATGAGGTAAATCCCAGAAAGTGTTGTTGTTTATCTTGGTTTTATAGATGAACGGACGTTTAATCGTTTTTCACACGATATAAGAGTCAGGCTAACCAATCAAGGTAAATGTTTTTTTGTCACTTTCCATCCTGAAAAAACAGCTTGATAACTCTCAGTATCTCAGTCACATCTATGTTATCCTTTTTTTTCTTTCTGTAGGAATTTCAATTTCGAATCGCTCCGACTGACATGTATCGACATGCATGAAATACTAGTGTGCTTATGACCAGCAAAATTCTCTTCAGATCTTCATCTGATGATTTTAAGTTGATTTCACATCGCAACCCCTAATTTCTAGTCATAAAAATAGTTTGGTAAAATTTGGCAAACAAACATTGCCATGGTAGTAAAGTGCAGCGACTGAAAATGCATTAGGTCAAGCCATTTTGTAATGAGATCCTAAATGGTGGTTACGGAGAAAGCCATAGCTCCCTTAACTACTTCCCACGCATACTTTTGACTCGAGTTGTTCGAAACAAAGGCACCTCTGTTGTTTGCCCATTTTTAAATTCTTCAATTGTTTCGATAAACGATCAACTTTTCGTGAGGACTTTCCGTTCTAATTGCCTCCAGGGACGAACGAGGGCGAGACATCACAGACCGCTACTTACTACAGCTGTTCGCTGAGGCCGAAGAGAAGCTCATAAAATTATCAGAGAGAAAATCTAACCATCAGCGGCCAGATATGTCCGTGAGGGCCGCGCTATCGAGTGTTGGGTGGAGACCTGACACCCCATCTAAGAGGGTTAGTGAATACTCCGTCCTGGACTTCGAGTTCGCTGAAAAACCAAAAATGGAATCGTTGACGGGCTTTGGATCTCGTTCAGTCGACTTCTTTGTCGCTGATCCACGGGGATATGGAAGTATTTTCCTAAAGATGGCCGATAGTTTTAAAGACAAAATCCTTTTCAATAAGATAGTGAAATCTGTTTCTTACACCCGTTACGGTGTTAGAGTTAGCACCGTGGATGGAGAGACATATATTGGAAACTATGGACTCTGCACGTTCAGCACAGGCGTGTTGTCAAGTGATTCTGTGGGCTTCTCACCAAAACTTCCTCAGTGGAAAATTCAGGCCATTAACAAGATTCCATTGGCGCACTACACTAAAATTTTCATCAAGTTCCCTTACAAGTTCTGGGACAGCCATGAATTTATCCTCTACGCTCACCGTGTTAGGGGGTATTACCCAATTTGGATGGACATCGAGGCACGCGACATCTTACCCGACTCAGCCATCCTGCACGTAACCGTCACGGGTGAGATTAGCCTCAAAGTGGAGGGTCAGTCGGAATCAGAAACGCTGAGAGAAATCATGACAGAGCTGAAGAAGGTTTATGGCGCCAAAATTCCAGAGGCTGAAGGTAGAGTATCTTTTAGTGACATCTTAAAGTTAAACTGCATTTTTCGTCTCGGGATGTAATTTATTAAAGTTTACACTTTGACTTGGTCCCTATTCGAAGCTCACTCCTTTAATCTCAAGACTCTTTTAACCAAGGGTCGTTCAATGTTTAGAGATCGAGAGTCCAGTTTTGACGATCGACTTCCTAGAGGCAAGTATCCAGAATGGATTTTCGAGGATTTTGCTTTTGAAAACGCGGATAATTTTTACTGATCTCGATCGAAGACGTCTCGAACTCAAACTATGACAACGGAAAGGATGCTCGGTACTGCCCTTTTAACTTGGCTTATATTCATAAGTTTTTTAACAATCCTAGGTATATTCTACAGTAAATGGTCCCGAAATCCTTTTGTCCTTGGATCTTATGCAAATGCCGAAGTAGGAACCACTGCTGCAGACTTCCACAACTTGGGTGGTAAATTGGGCAAACTTTTTCGCTGGAGACTCCGTTGATCCCCATTGGTGGGGATTTGCTCAGAGCTCTTACTTCACTGGGGAAAAGAAAGCAAAGGAAATTCTGAAATGCATGAATAACAACTGCGAAGTATTTTGGTCGAAGACGAATGTTGTTCAAGAAGTGTACACGAATCCATGATGGACGCTGCATTTCACTTCAAATGATAAGTCGACAAGTGTTTATCAAACCTTCGGACGACCATTTTATCAATGTATATTAAATTATTGAAAAAATTGAAAGTGGCAGTTCTCTGTTTGCCCATGATGAGTTCTGTTGCGTCGTTTTGTGAGATTCTTGGAACCAGTAGAAGAGCTTGGTGTCAAGTGTTTCCTTAATATTACTTGTTTTTTGATTGACCATCATCACTTCGTAGTCAGTTTTGAGATAAGAAATAAACGTGATTTCAAATGAAAATGATCAAACTCTCTGTAATTTTCATTGTTAAATAAAATACTCTTTTAAACGCTGAATATTGATACGTACTAAGGTGGCTATCTGCTGAGTTTCCTTTTCGAAAGTTTTGACTGTTGGGAATAATAACAATCCAATGGCAGAATTTGTTTTAGAATTTGTTCAGAGAGGCCCAGTGGGCTACCCCTAGTCTTAAGGGGTACCTATTTAAAGAAAAGGGTCCAAAAATAAAGTATGCTCCAAAAGGTGTTTAAACTTATTTGTGTGGTCTTGTCCGTAAGAGAGCGACGAAGAGAATGGCAATTGAGGCGGTTAGAGGCTTTAAATTTCAAAGGAGTATTATACAGCAGGCGTCGTATCAATGATATTTTTAGTAATGTTACTGTATTTCAATGATTTCAATGAAATAGAACTTCGAAATGCTACCTATCTTTGGTCACAATTTTTCCACCCCATTTGACGCTTACGCGTATGTTTTATGCAGCATTTCTTTTCGATTTGCAGATCCCGCAAAGCCACGCTTTGGAATAAACTCTGCAATAGGAGATGTAGAATGTCACCTTTGAGCAGCTCTGTCCGAGATTGTTTATATGTCTGAGTATTGTATCTTTTCCAGGAAATATTATGCTCAGATCTGGTAATGATTTGTAGTTGAAGTTAATAACCAATCGGAGAGCTTTGTCTCAAAATGCTACTAGATATAATTCTGTCCGCTTGCAGTCTTTGTGAGAAACTGTTTATCAATCATTTCTACACTTTCTTCACAATACAATCAAAGTTCACCACGACTATGAAATCCTCGTTTCAGGAACGTTTTGTTTCCTTAATCTTTTGAACGTGCATGACTAATTTTTTTTTTCTTTTATGTGTATTTTTTTCAGTTCAAAAAATTTTCCTAGCAGTTTACATGTGTTTCGTGCTGACTGCTCATCTTTGAATGAATTTCAAGTGATTAGCTGACTGATCCAGGGATCAATGTAGCCCCACAGTCGTCGAGATCAACAGAATGAAGATCTCATTTACGCCAACGTTTATTCCCGGTAAGTTCCTTGTCTTAACCCTTTGGTCTTGCGTAGGCGCTGATTGTTGATGGTACACGACTTTAAAAAGCTTAGGTAAATTTACATGACAGCACTTCGAATTTGAAAATAAACGCGGAATTTTGGCAACATTTAGCACATTCGCATATACATTGTATGTTTTAGATAAATGGAAACCAGAAAGCCTTTAAAATCACGAAAAACTGTATTGAATTTTTTTTTTCGTTTAAAGCCTATAGAGGCTGCTTATAAATTCAAATCTTTTCAATTTTTTCTCCTAAGAATCGGAGATGATTAATGAGAATATAGACAGTTAATGGCGTTTGCAATGATAACCTTTTAGCAAGACAACCACCGACTTGATTGAACATTGTCTTATAGCAAACTACAGGAAAGGCCACATTATTTTTATCGTTGGAAAGTGTTCTGTTAGTGATTGATGGATCCCATTAACCATTTCAAACCTGCAGCAATTTTCTGCGCGGGGTAATGAACATCCATTGAAGAATGGGTGGATAGATAAAAGCTAACTGGTAATGGAATTACAGCCAAATTACAAACATTAAATACTTATTTACCGACAGGGAAACTCATGTTTTTTTTCCCTATGGTGCTTTCTCTTCTCTTTTTAGTTTACTTTTCTTTCTATGATTGTTGAATCACGGGCTGAAAACTTGTGAATGACACAGTCAAACCGAGAGGATCAGTAGAGTATCAACAAACAGAGAGGATCAGTAGAGTATCAACAAACAGAGAGGATCAGTAGAGTATCAACAAACAGAGAGGATCAGTAGAGCACCAACAAACAGAGAGGATCAGTAGAGTACCAAATAAGGGAGAGGGAAGAGTCCAGGGAAAAGACGATTAACAATGGTCAAAAACGTCATTAATGGGACGTAAAAATGTTTGGAAGAGGGTCGCGTATCACTTAATGCATTGTATACCTGCTAAACTCAACTGCAACGTAGGTGGAGATAATTTGCATGCAATAATTTCTATCGATGCTTTAAGACTAGCAGGCTGCAAAACTGAGAGTTGTTTGAAGTCTATCAGTTCGCCGAGGCACCATTTGCAGTTGATAACCGTTCCCAAATTCAAATCAAGAAAGAGGGAGGTTGATCAATTAATAGATAGAAAGGATGAATAACTCGACTGTTTCTCAGAGCTTATCGATTGATTATCCTGAAAAAGGTTTCATGACAACGAGTGGAGTCGTTACTCCCTTGGCAGTCTTCAAGGTTATCTCGGCTGTCTTGGTAGCAATGCTGTCTTTAGTGGGCAACACCATCGTTATCTACGTGGTTTTTACCACAAAAAAGTTACACGCCAATACCTATTTTCTAATCGTGAACATGAGTATCAGCGATTTGCTTTACACAGCTGTTGCCATTGAACCATTTATCGCCGGAATCCTAGGACGACCCTTCCCTTTCCGTGGTTCTTGGGGAAGATGCATTTGCAAATTTGTTAACGCGATGGGTTTTGGTATGATTACCAGCTCTGTATTGACACTGGCAGCCATCGCTTACGATCGGTTCTTCGCAATTGTTTTTCCTCTGAAAAATTTTAAGAATAAGACCTATCTGAAATGGATCGTCGCCTCAATCTGGCTGTGTTCTACCCTGGTTATGTCGCCGATGATGTACGCCATGAGGTTGCATGAAGATAGCAACACCTCGTATTGTTACGAAGATTGGTCCCCTTATTTTGATACAGATACTGCCTCCAAAACATACACTGTTTTATTATTTGTTATAATTTACTCGATTCCATTCATGACCATGTTCATATTTTATTCACTAATGTCCTATATTTTGTGGTTTCGTAAAATCCCTGGCATTTCTGACGAAATGACTCGGCAGCGTATAGTGTCGGGAAGACGCAAAGTGGTTCGAATGCTCATTTTTATCGTGTTGTGTTTTATTCTATGTTGGTTGCCGCTACAAATATCCACTTTTTCTGTTCATTTCAGCGACGCTGAACTTCCTTTTGAATTTTTCTTTGCCTGCGAATTTCTGATAAGAGCCAACGGGGCTATTAACCCAATGATCTACGTGGTGTTCAATGACAGTTTTCGTCGTGGGTTTAAGAGGGTTCTGTACATGTGTTGTCCGTCAAAATTAACCGTTCGTATTCATGTTTCGGGAAAAACAAATCTTCTCTCGCATACGAGCAGTAAGCAGTCTAATCAGACCAGCTCTAACCAAGGATTGCTAGGGTTTAGAGAGACAGTGGTGTAGATTAGGGTGTCAGTTTTATTGTGCATATGGCGTATGATGGAGGTTAATTTCCTGCAAAGGTAAAAAAACCTTCCTTAAGATTATCGCACCAAAAATTATCTGGTATATGTCTTACTGTGTATTTTTCTGTGCCTAACGATGCTCATTTTGTTAATTTTCAATTCATAAAACCTGAGATGTTTGTTCCATTTTCTCGCAATATGCATAAATCTTGTAACATATTACTAGAACGAATCGAGACAAGTGAGATCATTACACAATGCTGTAGATAAAATCTTAGTAGAGAAGTGTACTTGGAGACAATAGGCTACAAATGTAGAAAAGTAGATAAACCCAAGTTAAACTAAGAAATTACTTCTAAGCTTTGAGACTATGTTAAGAGAACTGAGATATATTAACTAACGTAACGCTTACGTTTTTTGCGTAACAACGTAAAGACAGAACTGGCCCTTTTGGTTGGAGAAAAATAAATTTTTGAAGTCTTCAAAGTGTTTAATAATTTTGATTTTAACTTTAGTTCCTTTAATTTTTTATATTAGTTTAATTCCTGTTATATGCGTAAAAAGTACAAGTACTTGAATCAATTTTACATTTTATTGCCTCACAACGTAAAGACAAAATTGTACCATTTTGGTCGGAGAAAATTGAGTTTTTGAAGAATCAAAGTCGCTGTAACTTATTTTGAGTTGGTATAAATACAGTTAGCACGCCTCACTTGTTGACCTAATTTGGACGTTCTTTGATTTAATTCGTTCCCCTCTATTAACTATGTTCGTACCAATCAGACGCATAAAGTCAACTAAGTAATGTTCATGATCAGGAGAAATGATTAAAAGTAATAAAGCCGTAGGGAAATGGAAAGTTGATGTTGAATAAACTAGTTAACATTTTACCGCAAGTTGTTTTCCTGAAGTTGTTTGGTAGCAGAAGTCTTTATTGAGAATTTAATAAGCATAATTGTAATTCTCAAAACCTGACAGGCAGCCACTATGCTCATAATATGCTTTCTTTAGTGTGTTAAAAATGTTTTCTATGCAAACAAAAAGTATCTCTTCAAAAATTGACTGCCCTCCTTTCGCTTTCAAATCTAATCCCACCAAGAAACCTCTGGGAAAAATTTGAAAAACTCGCTAATTGGAACAGTTGTAGATAATTTATTCAGGGATAAAGGGCGGGATAGAAAACATGTTGAAATTAATTATACATTCATGATTGTTTCATACCTTCGGCCAGTGTGACATGTGCTTCGCGCAGTAATGCAGTGAGTGATTTGCTTCTTGCAACAGAAAATTGACGTTTTTGCCAGTTCCTGGGCGAATACTTGCTTCAGGAAGTATTTTCAAGACGAGTATTTCCTTATCTAAAGATCAGGAGCCCAGAATTTGAAGGAGAGGTTTGATGATTTTGCGGTAAATAACTGAGGTGAGAGAATGAACTGTTTGCGTGTGTTCGAGTCCGCACTACTCCAGCTAAAGACTATTAAAACATTGTTACTTTGAATTCTATTACTTCGACTTTTCCGAAAAATTCGTCTTAAATGTTGATTAGTGTCTTTTAGCGATACCCTTTGCCTTAGCTTGCGCCCTTGTGCTCTGCGCATATCTGTTTGAATCAAATGGGAGGCAAGTGTCTGCACCGCTTGTCGGACAGAATTTAGATAAGTTCTTCAGACATTTCGTATATTTAATATCGAATAACGCTTAACACGTACATTTCGTTGAACGCGAAGAAGCACTTAAATCTCCTTTTCGTTAGTGAAAAAATTATTAACTACAGCAAGATGTGTTTGAATTTTCAGGGGTTAATAATTCCAGTGGCTGAAATTACGGACTAGAGCGTGAGAATCAAGCATAAGGTAGTTAAATCAGTCAAGTTACATTTATATTTTATTGAGAATGTGACAGGACACTTGCGGACTGTGATACTAGGGATGAATGTATGTTAAGCATTGTAGTTTGGTTATATCAACTAAGCTGAAATTGTAAATTGGCCACCGTAAAGAGTTAAAGCTGATGTTTCGAGCGTTATCCCTTCATCAGAGCGAATGGAGGAATTGTGGGTTGTGTGTGGGTTTAGCCCCACAGTTTCTTATGTTAAACGTAGACTTCGATATCTATCTGCAACAAACGTGGGACGTGGGCAAGAACAAAATGCAATGAAAACATGTACTTGCAAATCACAACATGAAACTAGTGAAAAGAGAGAAGACTTTGGACTGGCTTGTAAACTGCTTTCCACGAGCAAAACGAAAGGAAGGAAAAAAAACAGAAAGAAGAGAAAAAAACAAGAGAGGGTTATTGTATGAAGTTAACTGATAAACACCCCGTGTGAAATTAAGCAGGAGGAAATCTCGGCTCGTCTTCATATAGAGTTCGACTTGTTATGAATCGTTGTATTTATTGAATTTCCTCGGTAGTCGTGAGAGGGCAAGAAAAATGAGATTGAAAAGAAGATTGGAAATTTAGAATGGATGAAACGCAGGCGATGGAGAAGAAAGCAAAAATAACATAAGTTCCTAAATGAGCTGTTTTGCTGGTAGTTTAAATCAATCCATCACAATTTGACTCGATGAACGATGCTAAATCATTCAAATTATTTTGCCATTACCAGAACATGAGCTACTCTTGATTATGGCGTCAATAGGTCTTTTTCAAAGACGTTTCCTTTCCTTATTTGTTTGTTGTTGATGAACTTCTGACTAAGCTGTTCTAAAATCTATTTTGCCGGTAAAAAAAGTGGATCTACGAGAATATTAATTTAAATTTAGAAATTAGAAGATGGAAATTAGATAAGCTGTTGCGTGTGTTTCAAGGTAGTTCTGAGTCTTTAAAGTCGCCAGTTCCTGCAAAGAAGTCATCTACTGGACATGAACTGGCTACTTAAAAGACTCAAAACTAGCTTGAAAAACGCCCAAGAGCTTCTCT